ATCTGTATTTCTTGTGTCATGTGTAACAAATTGAAATAGATGGCCAAGTAGTATTATTTTGTGAGGTTTAATTGTGAGGTACAGTAATCCTTTGTCCTATCTAGCTAGCGCTAGCACAGTAATATCCAAGCTATTATTAGTAACTGCGCTTTTACTTGGTTTTAGGTTGGATTTTGTTGAATTACATTCCCCAAGATGGAACAAGACTCTATTTTGCCCAAAACTGTAGTTACTGCGGTTTTGCTTGGTAGGGCAGTATGGAGGTATGTGTACTTGAGCGCTCTGCAGTTTATTCAAATGTGTCTACTCTAGGTGTCCTTGCATGTATCCAAAGGAATCCTGACCACAGAGATTCCATCTGAAGGGGTGAAGATCCAAGGTGAGATTGCAATAGCAGAATCACTTAATCACTTATCAAGCACACTCTTCCAATCTGGTAGGCTATTTAAGCTGCAAATTTTCCCAGCTCTCCCTCTGCTCTGCTGCCATGCCTAGACACTCTAATAGGTTGGGTGTGTCGCAGACTGTCTTGCTTATTGTACCCATGTTGACAGGGTTGAGCACCCACATGTGTCTCGGGCGTGGCTGCAGCATTGCTTCACTAGAGTGTCAAGGTCTCCCCTATTTTTTGTAAGCCACATGCGGTTCCCAGCAGAAATAGACAGTGAAAATGATTCATACTTACAGCAACATAATATACATCTACACCTTTCACTGCAGTTTTAGTGTCTATATCTATACATATTTTTTTTTTATTATTATTTTTTTTTTTTTAATTCAACACATGTATCTGTTTTAGATTAAAAGCTGTCTCACATTTCTGTGCACTTAATTCATTCGTCAAGGCTTTTATTGTATTGTATTTATCAAAGGCAAATTCAGTATAGAAATATATGCATATATATATTGCAGTTGTCAAGTATTAAGAGTAATTTGTGTTATAATCATAATAGCCTATTTAAAAAAAAACAAAAAAACAAAAAAATAACTTGTGGCAATGTTGTGGCAAAAAACCAACAGGTCATGGTGAGACAAAATTGATTATAGAGTCTAGTAGCCTGGTGATCCTCAACGACCTGCTGGCTAAAGTGTCCTATACCAGCACTGTCTACCATATACACACTGGAGATCTCGGTATGTATCCAAGAAATTGGAACTGAGCTAGAAACAGAATCTTTATGTGAAATAATGTGTGTGCATAAATGTGCATCTGTGTGTTTCTTGTTAAAATGAGTGAAAAATTTTAAATGTGCAATCTGTGTTTTGTTCTTAGATTCACTGGGATCTTAGTGTTATAGTGGATAAAAGTGTGGACCCAAATGCAAAGACTGATTCACAGTTTGGTGAAGTTAAGTGCTTTTATTTTCAGATAAAGGGTAATGGCGATGGTGATAACTTACTGAAGATGGCAGGCTTATAGGCAGGCAAAGAGACCAGTTAGCAGACACGAAGGCAGGTGAAGTGTAACTTCCATGGAAGACAGACTACAGAAAACAGAATGCTCTGGCCCTGAGTAGATGGAACACTGGGGTAGATATACTGTTGGATAGATGAGTTGATTGAAGGCAGGTGAGCAGACAGGGAGAGTTGATGAGTTGGTGGCAGAAAGGTGTGTGGAGCAGAGCTGGAAGGCAGGAGGGAAAACCACACCTACAACACACAGACAGAAGACACAAGGGAGGGGAAAAACACAAGGAAAAGGCAAGGATACAGCCATAGCCATGAAACTTAGTTCAAGTCCACCTTGTTTTCTAAATGTCAGAATTCTGTCCTCTTCTGTACTCAGCCTCCTTCCAGTTTGACAAGCATGAAGCTGTGTTTCCCATTACCATCAAACAGCCTCAGGTGCCAGTCCTATACGACATGGGAACAGGTAGGAGTAAACTTATTGTGGTGCTGTGGGGGTTAAAAGTCAAGTCAAGGTGATACATTTTCAGAAATGGAACCAATCCAAAAACGCCTTTTGGTGGACTGAACACCTCAAGAGAACAGTGCTACTGAATCAATTATTAGTAAGTAAGTAAGTTATTACATGAGTCACTGTTAGTAAACTAACAGAAACCTTTTGTTTTCCTGGAAAGTCCTGTGTCACGGTGCACACAGTTGGAAGATGGCCAGCTGTCCAGTATCAGTTGACACAACCACATTTCTGTGCAGCTTAACATTGAAGATGAAGAGAAGTCTCTATATTTCTCTACCAGTAGCTCAAGTGCGTTCAGTTTGTTACACTGTGAACGTATCATGGACAGAAACATTAACTGTAACGGTGTGCATGACATTTAGTGATGATTGGATCTTCTAGTGCTTAAAAACTTTATGTATATATATTTCAACCAGATCTTGATTTCCTCACTCATTCCCACGCAGCCTGGCAGCAATATGAGTAGACTTTATAATATCATGTCTGTTGCATACATGTTGTGTAGAGTTTTAAGAGCTTTGTTCATTAACCCTGACCATACAGTGAGTATAAAGAGTAGAACAATATTCACATTTACAACTAAGCTTAATAAGTGCCACACCAAGAGCCTCTTTACAGCTGGTATTAACATGTGTTAGGTGATCCGATCATAAGTGGACACTTCTAAACACAAGTGGAAACAACCATTGTGATCCGATCACTCAAACCACTCCGAGGTGGGGGACGACATTTGACCACATATCTTAGTTTGTAAACACTATTGTGTCATTTGTGACATTGAATCAACTGACGTACACAGAAACACACTGTCTATTCAGCTCACTGTAATGCAAATTCTGTGTCAGACTCCCTTTAAAAACACACACACACACACAATATGGAGAGTTAATGAATGAAGAGAAACTTTATAAACTTTGTGAAACGCTGTCTACGACATTGGTAATTATTTGGGCCTTCTTTTAAAGTCAACATTAGGAGGCTTTTTTCGCATTTTCACTGGTTCCAGCAACCTTTCTTGCAGCCAGTTCAAGGATGGACTAGCTTGCCTGTGGAAGAGTTGACCACAATGGCCTCCAGTTTCTGAGGCTCATCCAACCCAAGACTGTTTTGAGATATTTGGTGTCAACTAAAGTGCTTGTGCCCAACAGTGTCCTTCTTAGTACACTGCTCTTTCGAGGGGCTGCGCCAGTGTATCCTTAGTTGGGGGATTTGCGCCATTTTTTGTCTGTTCTTTGTGAACAACTCAAGACAAGCTTGATTGATGTTGAGTTTGCTGCTGGTGCGACCATAGAGGAGAATTACCTTCTCTGGAAGTGTATGCTCTTCATGCTACACTGTGTCTTATCGCCTTGTCTTTTTTCTTAAAATAACTCTTTGCCTACTTCTCTGTCTGTCAGATATCAGCTCTCAAGTCACCATCACTACAAAGACATTCCTGCGCTACAGACAACTCAAGGTGTTGTTGAAAAGCATCCGGAGTTTCTATAGCAACATAGAAGTCATCATTGCAGATGACA